GCCAAAAAGATCATGAAAATCGTGCAGATATTGTGTGTCGCGTGTTTGAGATCAAACTCTTCCAACTAATGCAAGACCTGAAGACTGAACAACCATTTGGACAAATAATCGCATGTAAGTCAACACCATACGCAAACTTCTTCTTCAACTATTTTACTACTTCAAAATGCGACCATAATTTTATCTGATCATGATTCTCAATTCCATTACCTTTTCACTTATTATATATCGTAGGTTTGTACATAATTGAATTTCAAAAAAGAGGATTGCCGCATGCACATATCTTGCTCTTCTTACATCAGACGATAAAAAATCCTTCGGGTGACCATATCGACAATATAATAACAGCCGAGATTCCTGATCCACATGTTGATCTTAATGGCTACAATGCAGTCAAGAAATTTATGATGCATGGGCCATGTGGAAGTTCAAATCTTAAATGTCCATGCATGGTACAAGGTAGATGTTCAAAGCTTTATCCAAAGAAGTTTGTTGACCATTATCGATGCTGAGGGATTCCCGGTTTACAAAAGAAGGAAAACAAATATAACTATTTGTAAGAAAGATATCTTCTTGGATAATCGTTCAGTGGTCCCATACAACAGAAACTTGTTGGTTAAATTTGATGCACATATTAATGTGGAGCTCTGTAATTTCTCCAGAGCTATAAAGTATCTATTCAAATATCTTCATAAAGGATCCGATAGAGCTATTGCAACAATTGAATCCTCGGACAAAGGTGAAGGGAACGATGAGATCAAAACTTATTTGGACTGCAGGTATATATCAGTTGCTGAGGCTTGTTGGAGGATCTTTCAGTTTGACATACATTACAKACACCCATCAGTTGAAAGATTGCCATTTCATTTGCCTGGCAATCATACCGTCGTTTTTTGTGAAAATAATCGTGTTGAAAACGTTCTATCTATGCCTGGCGTGGAGAAGACAAAGTTTACAGAATGGTTGGAAGCAAATAAGAAGTATGTGCAGGCACGACAATTAAGTTATTCAGATTTTCCCACACAATGGGTTTGGAATTCAAACGAAAAAGYTTGGACAAAAAGAAAGAAAGGCATTGCAATCGGTAGAATTTTTTACGCCTCCCCTTCAAGTGGAGAGCGTTTTTACATGAGGATGTTGCTTAATTATGTCAAAGGATGTACTTCATTTGAGAGTATCCGAACCGTCAACAATGTCACATACCCTTCTTTCCAAGATGCATGTTATGAACTTGGTTTATTGGACGATGATAAAGAATGGATTGATTGTTTGACAGAAGCTGCACTTTGGGCAACTAGTAATGAATTGCGTCATCTATTTGTTACAATGATCATCCATTGCCAAGTCTCAAATGTGTCACATCTTTGGAAGTCTCACTACACTACATTGTTCGAAGATATTCCTTACCTCCAAAGGAAAAAATTTAGGGCACCGGACATGTATTTAAATGACAAACAAGTGGAAGCATATACCTTGGTTGAAATTGAAACAATAATGTTGAAAATGGGAAGAAGTTTGAAAGATATAGTTGGAATGCCATTGCCGAATTTTACATTGTTGCAAGAATCAAAAAATCGGTTGATTGATAAAGAACTTGATTATGATCGTCATCAATTGAAGAATCTGCATGACCAATCATTTGACACTCTAAATTCTTGTCAGAAAAAGGCATATGAAGCAATTGTTCTTTCTGTGCAATCCCAAAAGGGAGAATTATTTTTCGTTCACGGTCATGGTGGTACCGGGAAAACCTTTCTGTGGAATACAATCATTGCTAAGTTCAGATCAGAAGAAAAAATAGTTTTGCCTGTTGCAACTTCGGGGATTGCAGCTTTATTATTGCCTAACGGCAGAACGGCACATTCTCGCTTTCATATCCCGATCAATATCACAGCAGAATCAACTTGTGAGATTCGACATGGTACAATGTTGGCAGAACTTCTCATGAGAACCTCTTTGATCATTTGGGATGAAGCACCAATGGCACATAAATTTTGTTTTGAAGCTTTGGACAGAAGTTTGCAAGATATATCTAGAACAAGATTTCCCAATAGCAATGAAAAACCTTTTGGTGGACTTACTGTTGTTTGTGGTGGGGATTTTCGTCAAATTTTGCCCGTTGTTCCAAAAGGAACTAAAGGTGATATCATTGATGCTTCTCTCAATTCATCCTACTTATGGCCATATTTCAACGTTCTTAGTCTTAATCAAAATATGAGGCTATATACTGGAGATATACCAGAATCTGAAGCTTGTAAAATAGATTCTTTTGACAAGTGGTTGTTGTAGCTAGGAGAGGGTTCTCTATATGATGACATTCAAAGAGAGTTAATCAAACTTCCATCTGATATCTCCCTAAACCAATGGGATGACCCAATTCAATGCATGATTCAAGCTGTGTATCCGTCGTTGTTGGATAATTTTGACAACCCTGCATATCTGAAAGAAAGAGCGATATTGACACCAAAAAATGAAATGGTTCATGATTTGAACAACATAATTATGGACATGCTACCGGGAGAAGGTGTCAACTATCTCAGTTCAGACAATGTGTGCAAAGCAAGTGTACAAACTAACGAAGAAGATCTTTTGTGTCCATCAGAATTTTTGCACAGTTTAAAATTCAATGGTGTCCCAAACCATGACATTAAACTAAAAAAAGGAGCTCCAGTAATGCTTCTTAGAAATCTAAATCAATCAGAGGGGTTATGCAATGGCACAAGATTGATCATTACAAAATTGGGAAAATGGTCCATCAGAGCAGATATTATTTCTGGAACACATGTTGGCAAAAATGTCACAATTCCAAGAATAATCATGTCCCCAAATGAAACAAGATGGCCATTCAAGCTTAATAGGCGTCAGCTTCCTTTGGCAACATGCTTTGCCATGACAATAAATAAAAGTCAAGGACAATCACTACGCCATGTTGGCTTGTATCTCCTGAACCAAGTGTTTACCCATGGCCAACTGTATGTTGCTGTATCACGAGTTACATCACGTGAAGGGTTGGTCATACTAAATGCCGACAATGAGATTGAAGATCGAACCTTCATTAAAAATATTGTTTTCAAGGAAATCTTCCAAACTATTTCTTCAACAACTCATGATCTCCAGGTACGACATCCTCAAGATTTATAGTAACTATTAAATATTGATTAGCTATAACACTGACACAATATATAAACTAATACTTTTCATTTAATGACTTTTTCTACAGGAAAACGAGTCTGCCATCTAGCAACGGATTTTCAACCATGCCACAAGTTTATTGGATTGTTCATGATAGAAAGTAGTATGTGGCTTTCTCTCCAAATAATATACCGAATTGAGAATAATTATCTATACATTATACTTTTATTTCTCACATGCAATATATTACACTTCTTATAATAAGACAATCAAAAGCATGAATGTTAGTTTTACATCTACAAAATGTATTTCGTACCATTTCACAATTTAATAGCATGCTCATAACAAAATATGATCTCTAAACTTCTCACTTATTAATTTCTTAAGTCACATACTCCATCACAACCTAAAATTCTTTCACACTACATATTCATTTTCCATGAAACAATATATTGCAACTCTCTTTATGCTTACAAAAGCAAACATTCGAACATACAATTCTAACATTATTATTGTGATACTTTTACCACTTTATATTTAATTCAAACTTCTCGATGTTTTTCTTCATTAAGTAACATCGACCGCGCGAAGCGTGGTAACATTTCCTAGTTTATCAATATGATATGCACATGTGTGCAGTATAAAAGAAATCGACAAACTTTACCGTTGACTTTCTACTTAAATTTTGAGGACATTTGTCCGGTTTAAATTGTTCAATGTTGAGCTTTGGACGTGATTTGCATTTATTGCACATTTATTTGGGAATTACATGTTTTAAGCGCATTGGTTATGAGTCGGTTTATTTGGTCTTGGAAAAAGTGATGGGTACTTCTCGTGTTGTATCTAGAAATGAGTTATTGAGGGGCATTGTGGTGGGGACTCGTGGAGTCAAGCATTTGTCATTAACCTATAGAGTGTAACTTCTAGTGAACGAGCATATTTAGATCATCGGAGGTCTTGGGCCATAGACCGTGCAAGGTCGAAATGGATGACCATTGATCCATAGTGATTTCATACATTATGTTTTTAGTTTTTATTTCTCAATTGACCGTGTTATCTAAATATACAAAATCCAGAAGCCCGTCAAAAATCAAATTCAAAATTCCAAATCATTCTTCGACTTGCTCAATGTTTGTCCAAAATTACAACTATTGTTCGGCGTCGTCATCTTCACCATCCATGATTATATTTAGACTATGATAACACAAAAACAAAATATTTATCATTAACTGATTGAATAAAGTAACCTTTAATAAGATACATAAACTTATTATGGATAAAAAAAACCTAACATGGATTTGATCATTGGATTCAGTAGAGATATGCAAACATGTAGATTCGATAACGAACAAAAATCGAAGATGGGACGGTAACAAGAGACTTGAATCTCAACTACGAGATATGTTGAGGATAGAGAGCATCAATGGAAAAGAAGTTCCTATTTTTGGTTGCTAATGAGATCCCAAGTGAAAATTAAAAAAAATCTCCAAATTAATATGAACCATTAGATAAAAACTGGTCAAGGGACAAAAAAACCTTATCACCTTCTCAGGTGGCGTTTGGTTTACAAAATGTTTTTGGATGGAACGAAATCTATCAAATGAACTTGACTTTGAAGAAATTGAAATGAAATATTTTCAGGTTCGACCACCTATTTGGTTGGCAGAATTGGAATGAAATCTTTTAAAAGAATTAGAATCTGTCTATTTGGTTCACAGAACATAGCTTTGGAATTGGAATGAAATTCAGGTAAATGACTAAAATACCTTTTTTAATAAATTAGTTTTTTTAAACTTAAAATATTTTAATATAATGATTATTAATTACTTTAAAAAAAATTAACTCAAAATACTTTAATAAAATAATAATTAAATATTCTAATGTGTTAAATAATATAAACATACACAACTCAAATATAACCATAAACCAAATCATGTTACTAAATTAATATTAAAAATGCTTCAAAATCCAACAAATATGTTCAAAATAATTACATGCCACCATCATTAAACAATCGTACATATGACGCCAAAATACCAAAGCATGTTCAAATACATGTTCCAAAAGCCATTAAGCATCATAGTTTTAAAAAAAGAGCTAAACCATCGAGCACAATCATTCTTGCAAAATGTACCTCACAAACTCTTCTCGAGCTTCTCCTTCATAGTTCCAAAAGTTTAACACAGATTCAGGTTCACATGTTATTTTTCTCAGTGCTTTAAACTTTTCCATTGAAGTAAAATTCATTTTGACGAGTTCAGAACCAACCACAGAAGTCTTTTGATGTAAATCTATCTCAACTTGCACCAACTTGTCCGATGATTTTAAAAGTCTATCTCCAAGTATGAAAACAACATTATTTATTGCATCAACAAGAGATCATCTCGACCCTTGCGCTTCCTACTACCTTGAGATGTACACTGATCGGGTTTGTATTAACATACCACAGACTACAATCAGGACCAAAAGCAAGTATACAATTAGTCCCAATATCGTCTTTCAAGTAATAAAATGGTACAAGTACCGGATATCGTCCACAGGGATCGTAGTAAAAGTTTAGATGAAAGTAATATTAAGGAAATGATTTCAAAAGGCGAATTCGAAGACTTTGATTTGAACAGAGTTAACACAACTAAAATTAACATGATATAATAGATAATAAAAGCAAGCAGAGTGTAAGACTTTTAGGGTGAGATGTAAATATTATTTCCAGTAGACCAATGCTATCAAAATGCTACGACATGAGACCATACTAACAAATTGCTACAACAAACAATCAGTAACAACTATTTTCACCATTTATTTTGAAAGTATTCCTCTCGGACTTCACCAATGCACTGATTTTATAGCTTTCAACCCATATCTCTATGAGGTATCCAGACCAGTGAAAGTGACAAATGGTGTCCTCAAAATATATAGATAAACAAGTCTCTTTGTTAAAAATCACTCTCTTGAGTGGATTCCCATATCATTCAAGTTGACATGTTCTGAATGGCTCATCACTGAGTTCATTCTACTTTAACACTTCAAAGTGATTAACCTGTCGAGAATTAACAATTTAGAAAATACGAATAACAAATCTCTTTGTTAGCAACTCTCTCAAGTCTACTTCCCATATCATCCAAATTGACGTGCAATCAATGGCTCAGCTTAGAGTCCATGACATTTAACACTTTTCAGTGATCAACTCGTCAAGAAGTGTCATTGGTTTTATAAAACTTGGAGTGAAATAATGAAACATTGTTGTTACATAAAAGGGTCCACTTTATTTGATTTACAAACTCACCCTTTTCGTCATACACCTGAGCTAAAAAAGTTAGCTACTCATGACGAAAAGTAAATTACAAGAAATATAAATTGCGATAAATAAAGACATAAAGTAAATAATGGAAAGTAAGTGACGGAATGTGAATGACATAATGTAAGATGCGGAAAGCATAATAAATAAATGACGTAAATAAAATGCAAGTAAGCGTAATAAATAAATAACGGAATATTAAGAACAAGTAAATAAAGAAAGCAATTAAAGAGAACTTGAAATTAGCCAAAAGATTACTTAATATTTAGAGAGAAAATGTTCTTCAAGTAGTAAGACAATCTACTTGAGAAATAGAAGAGAGGATGATTCTAAAAACTAAACCCAACATCTCTATTTATACTAGAGATGAGATGAGGGTATTTTAGACAATTCATACAAATTAGTCCTAAAGCAACTAAAAGTACAATAAAATAAATATTTAGAGTTCCAATATAACTAAATTAGCCAACAAGTTTTCAGCTAATAAACAACTGTCCAAACATAAGATGTCTTTCAAAAGTCAGCCATTGTCAAGTCGGTCAACTCGTGGTCCTTTTTCTTCTATTTCTCCACCATTAGGTCATGCTGCAACATTCCCGCAACATCAAATAGCTTCAAACAGTCCAAAATAAATCCAGATTAGTCCATTATCTAACAGAAACATGTCAATTATTCATTGTAGCTTTAAAACAGAGAAAAAAGATAAAATGACTCAAAGTTGGGATATAAATAGAAAATGACCTATCTAAAAGATAAGAAAATGGTGTTCAATCACTAAATAATTAGTGCGTATCATACACTCTTGACTTAACATTTGGCTATCTTCTGTCGGATAGTCCAAGTTTTCATTAAATTGTTGTTCTTGAAAGGGCATTTGGCCATCTTCCATGTCARCATTTTCTTCTAAACCATCATAGTCTCTTACTTGATTTCCATGAGCACGATCTTTTCCAAAAACATAAGACAAGTCTTCATAATGAGGAAATGGTTTGTTTCTCCATTTTGAAGCCTCTTCGTGTACTTAAATTTGCAAAAGGCATAGAAACGTTGAAAAAACAATTCTTAACATGGTAATATGTAATACATAGTAATATGTACCTCCAGGTAAGACTCCCAAACTGACGCCTCGGCAGTCACACACATTTTAGAACTATCGTAACCAAAGCCACTTGTATTCATACCATGGAGCATATCATGTACGATTTGCCAGTCCTTTTTCATGGTCTTTATTCTTGACTCGTGGTTTACCTAATAAATTAGAATCAGGAAGCAACACTTTCAATGCTTGTTCCAAATGTTGCAAGTATTTGGATTTAAAGCCATTATCAGCTTTATATCCTCCAACATTGACCATATTCACCAATGCATCAACAAGTTTTCCGTCTTCGATTTTTGACCAATTTCGGTACTTACGCCCATTGATTTTATCTGCCAGACCTAATATTAAAGATCAAATTGTACCATTATATTCAATAACGAACGATAAAGATCAAATTGTACCACTAAAATTAATAACGATAAAGATGAAATTGTACCTAACATACATAATATAAAACAATTCAAGAAATGAAAACATCTGTAAATAGCAAGATGCATAAATCTGTAAATTAGGAAAACTAAGCACATGTAACATATTCATTTGTTAATTCATTGGCATTCACATATTCCATTAACATATTCATTTGTTAATTCATTGGCATTCACATATTCCATTAACATATCAACTAGTCAAGAAAACAATTTTAAACTATTCTACAAACTTTATCTGATTTCACTAACAAGTCAAACAAACAATTTCAACCATGGTGACA